ATGAAGAAGGGAGAAGGACGACGTATGTGGAAAAGACCGGGAGAAAGGACGGCAACTATAACCCGGCTGTAAAACGGAAGATCTGACTCATCCGACAGAACTCTCCGCAGCAAAAGTCGCCGAACTGCGGAAGGGCCATCAGCGGCGGAGGAAAAAGTACAAGAAAAATTTGAACGGCCAACAACGAGGTCCAAGCAGGATCACGACAGAAGTTTCCCGGTTCCACCAAGACCAGCTGCCTTCAAACGGCCAAGACCACAAGCAGAGGACAAAGGAAGATGTTCAAGGGTGGCCGTACTGGTGAAAAACGGAAGCTTCCAGAGGAAAGCACTGAAGGGCGAGCCCGTACAAGAAGGAGGATCAACCAAGCTACGGTCTGCAGCTACCTTTAAAGACTGGGCCCAGAAAAGGATGTCCGAATATTACAAAGATAAGTAAAATTTTATGTTACTTTGCAAACTTAAGTTAATCTTTCATTCTTACTGCAAGTGGCAGATTTCAAGAAGTTTTACCTCATGCGAGGTCTACCTTTATCGCCAAAAGGGCGAGAAATGAGTTGTGACCGATTTTCTTATTATGTTTTTTCAATTACTCGCGCGTAAAACTAAAGTTGATGTATAATAGCGTTGTGTAAAGACTTAAATATTGTAAAAAGTTATTGTATAAATTTTATTTAAAACATTCTAGCAAGAAAGAAGTTTTAGTCTGAAAGACTTTTTGAAATGTAGTATTATTTCAATGTAGAAAGAATTGGCACTTGCTTTGAAAAGAATAGAAGTTAACAATGTACTACTAATGTATGTTTTCAAATGTGTAAAATTAACGGCATGTTGATATGTTCTTATATACATGTGAACTGTTATTTTAAATGTTTAGAAATACCGTGATATGGTAAAAGTGAAAGTAATGTTAAAAATTTGTTATTCGTGTGACTGTAAAGATTAAATCATGGTGAATATGTGTTAAAGGTTGAATGATGTATGTAGTTAGGCTCTCTGACGCTACACTTTAGAGTTAGCCACTTTCAGAATAGTACCTCAGGGTTTAGAGTTGAAATTAGGGTGTGTTAAGAGGTCTCGTATGTTGAATTTTAACACGTTAGTGTTTTGATTGTAGGAGGAAGTGTTGAACACGTAGACAGAAACACATTCGTGTTTGGTGTTCTTTTACAACACATGTCAGAGAGCACGGGGAGAGATAATTAAAATAGTCATGAATGAAATAAGAATGTTAAGAAAAGTATATTCTATATGTTATTTGCCAATGTCATTCTGTAACATTTCATTAAACTAGTTTTCCTTCCAGATCTCTGGAAGGAACCAGAATTGAATAAAAGCTCCTGTTTAGATGCAGTACAGATGAAAAGAAAAAAGATTGTTGTATATCCTGGGAGCTGCTATTGTAACAAATTTCTTTCTTTTAAAATTTTCTAGTTTCTAGCGAAGTTATGTTTGTAAAAGTTGGCCTCGCGTTAGATTCTAGAGCTAAAAGTTTTCAACAAGGTCGTTTTAGACCTCAGTTTCAAACTAATTAACTCTGGCGGGAAGTATGTAAGGATCTTAAGTTTTACTAACGTTTATTTTATTTTAAATCTTTACTATCACTTCTTATTTTCTACTTCCGGCCAGAATTATAAGCGTGAAGGAGTTTTTATGCAAAGTTTGTCTGGCGAACGCCAAGTATTTAAGTGTGGCCTTTTTGCCAAGCGAGAGAGAGGAAGCAGTGAGTTCGAAGCAGGCCGCTTACCTTAGAAGTTACGCAGTTGCTATTTGCCTTCCAGGCCAGAGGTTTTAATCCTCTTGATAAATTAAACGTATTGTAGTGTTCACAGTCTCTGTGCTACATACGCTTCCTGTTATTATAAGGCCAATCTTATTCTAAAGTTAAATTAGAGTTTAGTTTTATTTTTATATCTTTTACGTTAGACCCCGAGTGGAGGGTCATTGTATTCCGAAGTACGGAAGTCATTGTATATAAAGAAAAATAAAGGGTTTTGTATACCCTTCGTCTGTATCCTGTCTACTTACTACAATTAGTGAACATAGCTTTAGTAAGCTCTCTGTTCTAGTCAGGTCATTGTATGTTTCCGAAGAAGGTAGAAGAAACATTGAACCTGATACGTTAATTTTAATTGTACACTTTTTACTGCATATCTGATCATGTATAATATTTATATATTTACGATAGTGCTGATTATATTCCAAAATGGTTCCAGTTCCACTGCAGACGGGTATTGCATCAACATTATTAAGTAAAATTATCAGCTCGCTCACAGCATTAAAAGTAACAGATTGAGTTTTTTGAAAACATCTGCAGTTAATTCATTATTTTTTTCAATAATACTGATTTTCTGACCAAAGGATATGGCAAATTTTTATAATTTTATAAATACTATGGATTGAGGACAGCTTTTAATTTGTAATTTTGACCAAAATGGAGAAGGTAACTGGACAGTTTCTACATCACTTATTGTTACAGTTCTTGTAACAGGGATGTTTGAAATACCAATATTTTCTTTATTCATACATATTTTTTTTTGTCACAGATGTTATATTATTTCTGACTTTTCTTTTCTGTGGTAGTGATTTATTGAGATACTTTGGAGCATTCGGAAATATGCTAGGTATTGCTTCAGGTTTAAGTAGTGGTTTACCTCGGAATTTTTATTTCCTCACCGTTAATATGATGGTAAAATTTATCAATAAAATGCTCTTCAAAATACAGTTCACACACACTGCGGTGGATCAATAGTTCTGTATCTTCTCTAGAGATTGTTTTTTTCGACCATTCTCGACGAAGTTTTCGTCTTTAGGAGCTAAACAGTGATGCTTTTGTGGCATTTTGGTAACCACATACACAGCTGAGAACAAAGTACTTGGTGAGAGTTTTGCCGACATATCAAATTAAGTTTTAGCAGCTCACAGCAAAAAAGAATACCCAAGATTATTGTACAAAATTATTAGCTCACTTACAGCATTAAAAGCAACGGATTAATGTTTCAATCTTCAAAACCAAACATCACACGAAAATACAAAACATTTTAGAAAAAGTTAAAAAAATCAAATTTTTCGGTAGCCTTTGGTAGTATTTAGGAACTTTCTAAAACAAATGCAAGCCTGTGGGTTTCTGCACTGAATTTGAGAGCCTAATATTAAAAAAGAAAAGAAATAAAGTAAACACATTTTCTGCACAGGAAAAATTTGAGAAATACTTTTTCATGTACATTTGTTATTTGATAATCAGAAACTAAATGTTCTCTATAATTTTCAGTGCTACAAAATAAAGTGGAATGTTCTAGACAGCAAATAATTTTTGATTTTTGAGATACAATACCGTAAAAAAGACTCTGATAATTCACTAGTCCACTTTTTTTGCGGCGGGGGGTTAAATTTGATTACACATTTTCACATGAGAATCCTCCGAATTTTCCATATTCACTCTGTTGCCTTTTATAAAAACAAAGGTTAAAAAATTATTAGAAATCTCAACGAAAATCTGCCCCAATAAAAAAATTGCTTTTAAGTTATGGTTCTCGGCATCATGTTTTATTTTATGTATATTGTATGTTTTAAAATTATTTTCATAGTTCTGAACTAATTATTTTATTTTCTTGCTTAAGAGACTTAACTCTTAATTTATAATCACGTAATGATTTCTGCAATACCCTCACTCGGTGAGGCATAATGCAAAGCTTCCGTGAATATAGTTTTGTTTGTGATGATTTTGAATTTTTGCATTTACGAAAATTTCTTTGCACACCTTGTTCAGATAATAAAGCTCTTTCAGAACGAGTTTCATACCTCGTACTACAAACCTCGGCTAACATTTGCAGAGGACTGAAGGTAGCATCTATAGAATGTAAAATGTCATCTGTGTTACTTTCCTCCATCGCTGTCTCATCTGAAACTTTGAGCTTTTTAACTTGCCTTCTAACTGTCTGTAAGTTTGGCTGCATATACTTAGGATAATCTTCAAATATTGTTGGTAGAGAGCCTTTCTTCAAGTATTTTTTTTGCATCCTTCTTTGTATGAAGACTTATCAAAATGTCTACTGCAGACAACAGATCTGTCAGAAGGTCTCCACAATTTACCAAATGAATCTAAAATAAAGAACAAGAGCAACAAATTAGTGCTCTCTCTATATATATATTAGAAAAGAAATAAGTGTAATTTACTCAAAATATCATTTCATATTTGATGTTCAGAACATTTACTTTCAATCATAATTTTATAATGTGTGAATAAAACAAGTACATTTGAATAAAACATGAAATATGTATATTTAATTATAACTTAATTTTATTCTTTCAATAAATTTTTCAGAAAAAGAATATATATATTCTGAACTGATTAAAACTGATTTATCGGTACTTTTATATATATATATATATAATATATATAATCAATAAAACTGTTTTACTTGAGATTTTTATCCAATTACTTTAATTATTATTCTTAAAAGTAAGCCTAAATATATGCCATTATGTAAAGGCAGGATACAAGGAAATAAACAAGAACACTGAAAGAAACTACTAAATTGATGGAAATATAACATTTTAAACTACAGATAATTTTAACGTATGCAGCAGTTATAATTCGAAAAGCCCGCCATTTTCATGATTTTATTGCTTTCTACATATAACATAAATATAACTTAAATACATATAACATATTTTGAACAACATTCAATTTTTAATTAATTGCATTTGCTAAGCGTTAAATAGCACTAACTTTACCTTTTCGAGATATGTTCTTGATCTATCTTTCTTTCAGAGATTCCTCGCAGGGAAATTCATGGAAAGACACATTTTTGGTTTTCCTGTGGTCGGAACTGCAAAATGGCACGCTACAATATACCATCCTGAATTACTATTAGTAAACAGCGAAATTTTTCAATAAAATACTTTTTGTAATAAACGAGCCACGTTACAAATAGTGAGCGTATAACAAAATTGTAGCAGAATGCGAGCGCCACGTAGTGACGAATTTCGCGAAAGCCACTGAAAACTGGGAACCGGAATTTCGTTCAGTCTGGCAGGCCTTGAGTATAAAAGTTGGCTTTGGTAAAAGAAATCTTCGGCGGCGGCGGTGGCTTATTCTGATTGGTTGAATTTCTTCATTTTCCGGCGGATTTTAGACAATTTGCACTCTATTTTTTTGAAAGGATATATGGTAAGACTCTGGATGATGATAGGACAGAAGAGAACCCCTGCATATTAGTTGGAAGAAAGGAAGCAGGAAAGTGCGATGTATTCAGAAGCCTGAGAGGTGTCAAAAGGTGTTGGATCTCGTAAAAGTTTTAATTTTAAAAAAGGGGCTATTGCCAATTAAAACCAGAAGTTTGCATATTTTTATCTTAGTATGTGTTTGATGCCTGTGTTGATATACCTGCATATACTTCATTATCCAAAAAAAGAATGCATGCTCACAGTGGTTGTAAGAAGATGTATTCTGGAGATGCATGTGGCCCTATTCTTTGCCAGTACATCACATATTGATCGCATCTAACGGTAAAAGTATAGTTTAGGGTACCCCATGGCGATTTTTGGCAGTACAGGGATACCGATTTTGTGTAGTTCTTTGAGTTGTTATTTTGGCTTGCGAAGCGGCGATTTTTGCGCCAAAAATTGCCGCTACACAAAGCCAAAATAACAAGACAAACAATTGCACAAACTCGGTATCCATGTATACGTCGGCCTATTTTCACTTAAAAAAAATCCCCGAATTGCACAAAAATGGCATTGCGCACTCTTTTAACTTTATTCATGTACACGTCGACCTATTTTCGCTTAAAAAAAATCCCAGAATTGCACAAACTTGCTTTGCGCACTCCCTTTACTTTGTCTATGTACACATCGATATATTTTCACTTAAAAAGTCAAAGGAGCACCAAAGTCTACAATATAGGCAAATAAAAAATGCATAATCTCAATAAAATACATTTTAAACCAAACAATAAAATAACATAAAAAAAGAAAAACGTTATAAATTTAAGCACTACCAAAAGCAAAATATTCACTTACCATGATTTTAGAGTTCGCTTCGTACACCCAGTGCCATGTAAAAATCAAAATATCAATCCTACTCATATCACGTTTTCAAACCAGGTATTCTTTCTGATCAAACGCTTCATGTAGTGACCATCTAAACCTTTCTTCGTACAAACCCATTCAAATCCATCTAAACAGTTTTAACACACGTCACAAAAACGCTTACAAAACATCCCATGATTCAAAATTTCCCAGAATCATGCACCCGATTATGTCACAATAGGGTTTCCATAACATTCAACTACTCAGGCTACCATAAATGAAACAACAATTTGGCGATAAATCAAACAACATCATCGCCATAATACAAGAGGTACCTTAAAGTCTACTTTACCCCATCTAACTTTTCCACCAATTGATGACCTTAATTATTTAAACTTTTCTACACCTTAATTAGCTAATGTTAAAAATCTTCTGCTGTTTAATTTTTTAAAAATTTTTGATTTATCCCTTTAAAATTTTCTAACGTTGCGTGTCTTTTCAAATTTATTAACATTGCATGTCTTTAAGGAATAGTATTACTGTTACATTTATTCAGCTGTATGTTTCCTTAGAAAATTTTGTATTTTTCCATTAGTAACCACACTTCAGAAAGATTTGATTACCAGACTGTGACTTATTAACAATTATTACTGCCATTCAGAAGGAAAGACTGCTAAATAACAGTTTGAAAATTTTCAGTGTGATCGCCAGTTGCATATAATCATCAACAATTTCAAGAATTATTTAAGTTTCTGTTGTTTGAAGGTTTTCAATTTCAATTTTTCAATTTTCGATAGACAATTCAATTTATCAATGTTTTGACTTCATTCTGTTATTAATTGGTTCTCACCCTTTTTTTGCCTCATGAACCTCTCTCGTCATTGCTAGACAATCATTCTGCCTCCCGTTTTCCAAAAGTAAAAAAATGCATATACGTTTATTTAAATACAGATTATCATTTAGTATGTTTTATGAATTAACAGGGAATGTGTTTAAAATGTTGATAAATACCAAAACTTGAATAAAAGTAGTTTTTTTTTTTGTATTCATAAACTAAAAGTGAATGTTTAACAGGTAAGTAAAAGGCTGACTGCATTCCCTCCTGAAACTATGAAATCTTACCCTTTCCTTCTGGTTGAAAACCTGCATTATCAGCTACCACAAGGTCATGCCAGTTTATGATTAGTTTATGATAAGAAGAGAAGCATCAAGAAGTTGCTTTAAATATTCAAGAGCTTTGCTCAAGTTTTTAATCCTATAATTGGTTAAGTAGTAAAACTACTCAGTAGTGGTAATTCAGCTCAAGTTTGAATCCCAGCAAATAAGTTGGCTGAATGGAAGTTTTCATTGTTTTTTCCATATGTAATTAACTCAAGATCCAGTTTCCCTGAAAATGTCTTCTACGAAGACATTGCTCACTTTTGGTAGAGTCCTCTTATGTTCTGCCATAATTAAAACAAACCAAATTTAAGTCTTCAGTGTGGATAATCTTCATATTTTTCATTTCATCGTCATCCTCACCATCACTACAGTTTCTGTTCTCCTGTCACGAATTTCTTCATCATTCAAAACTTGAAAATTTAGTTCAGTGTTTTCTACATTTATCTATTGTGAAATGTCATACAAACCATATTTTTTAAGTAATACATTAAATAACCAATTCATAAAAAATTAATGAGAAGGGCTATTACATGACCTATTGCTAATTAAAAAAAAGCCAGAAGATCAATCCATGATGAAATCTGCAAATGTTTACTGATTTTTGTGATGCCTTTTGAGATGTTACTGCGTTTTCTGAATTATATTTGTAAATTGATTTTCACTTCACTTCAGAGACTGATTGAGAGGGCTTTTACTCAATAAAAGTATTTTTATGGGTTTTTTGGTGGTACATGGATACCGAGTTTGTGCAATTCTTTGACTTGTTATTTTGGCTACACAAAGCCAAAATAACAAGAAAAAGAATTGTTTAACCTTTTAACTATTAAGTTATTTTGATGGTTTGAGTGCATAAATTGTCAGTTTTTTTTTTTTTTTTTTTTTTTTTTAATTTCAAAAATGAATGTTTGCCTCGCAGTCAAAAAATTAAAAAAAAAAAAATGCCATGCACTCTGAACTCTAACCTTTGAAACCTTCAGTAAAATGCTGCCATCTGTTGAACTGAAGCCAAAATAAATTTCTCACGATATATATTTGGGTATAACAATACGATGCACTCAAAAAAAAAAAAAAAAAATTAGCCCGAGTAATATTCGGGCATGACATTTTGGAATACCAGTGCTGTGCCCGAGATTATTTCGGGCATGACAGTTAAAAGGTTAAACTCAGTGTCCATGTACACATTCACCTATTTTCTCTTAAAAAGAAATATGCCAGAATTGCACAAACTTGGCATTGCACACTCCCTTGACTTTATCCATGTACACATCGACCTATTTTCACTTGAAAAAAACATCAGAGAATTGCACAAACTAGGCATTGTGCACTCCCTTGACTTTGTCCATGTACAGATCAAACTATATTCACTTCAAAAGTCAAAGGAGCAGCCAACAAAAAAATATGTATAATCTCAATAAATTACATTTTAAATCAAACAATGAAATAACATAAAAAAGGAAATTGATCTTTGCTCTACAAAAAGGAAATATCCATGTAACCTTATTTACGAATTAACATGTCTTCAGTCAAACAAAATTTCTTAACAGCATTCAAAAACTTCTAAAATTATCTGAACTAGAATCTGTATATTGGCGTTGCCTCATAAATTCACAAAATAAGAGTCGAAAATATTCTTTGTAGCGTCATTATGGCCCGACCGTACACATCTCCTTCTTACAAAGAGGACACTGTATGATGGCTACTAAGTAAACCTTTATTTACACATCAGTCAAGTAATGCTCTTTTCTTCCTTCTTTCCAAATCATACAAAAACTTAATCTTACCACATTCAGCCATTTTACCATCTTAAACTAGAAAACAAGCAATGTACTTCCTAACCAACACACAGCACAAGCCTTTACAAATTCACCGCAATCAGGCAACTGATTACATCATAATAGGGTTCCCATAACATTCAACTACTTGGGCTACCATAAATAAACCACCACTTGGCGATAAATGAAAGGACAACTTAGCAATAATACAAGGGAGTACTCTTCTCTCTACTTTAACCTTTTACTCTGTTATCTAAGAACAGAATTTGATTTATTTCAGAATCAACTAAAATTTTGTAAGGTACATATTTATTCCTATTTTCCCTACATCTTTCTGGATATTTTTTCTCTGATAATGATAATTTCATTTTGCTTATAATAAAGCATAAATATGTATATTAATTTATGAGAAAAAAGTTTTATTTAAAACAAAAATACTAGTTATCAAATGCAGATTTACTGTACCTTACTTGTTGTGCATTTCAATATACTATATTACTGAGATAGGTATATTTTGTTTAATATGTTGACCATTATCATCCGAGTTATTAAAGTCAGGAGTGCTGAAATTCATGCCTTTCTAATGGAAACTAGGCTGCAATAGTTTTTCTGCATGTGGATCATAAATATGAGGCATGTTTCTTCACCATGGAAGTATACCCCTACTTTTAGATTCTTAATTACTTTTCTGTCATTAACTAGGCGGTCAAGTACTACTAGAAAATATTTGATTTTTGATCTTTTTATTATTGAGTCTGTTCAGAAATCATGTTCAGACATGTAATCATTGATATCTAGAATAACTGATGCTTTGTATAAAAATTAATAACTTTTCTGACATGCTGCATGAAATTAATAACTTTTCTACATGTATGTAATTTTTTCTGAGATGCTGTAAGTACTGCACATAATCTGGGTTTTGATTCTCTAATCCGTAACTGCTGTGTAGTGTTATAACTCTTCTGGTGTGTTTTAAATATATAAGGAATTATCATCAAGTATCATTTTAAAGGTAATTAAAATATACTTGTATTTCCCAGGTATTTATTTTGTTTTCAAAATGGAATTTATTTTGAGACCATCCTTATGCCGTAGATCTGCCATTTCTGCTATAGTGGCTCTGTGGAATCAAAAAGATATCAGATGTCATATTTTAAATTATGAATGGTCATCAGATATTAACAAAAAAGCACAGTGGAGATTTATAGAAGATAAAGTAATCGAAAATATTTTAATTCTTCCAATAACTCAATTCGCTAAACAGAGTTTACTTGATTTAGTTCAATTAATAGGATCTCATATTTTTCAGTGGAAAGAATTTCACTTGTTTCTTAATATAAATTTGCCAGATTCATTTTGTTGGACACCATATGGAACAATTGATGCTAAAAAGACAGCTGAGAAGTTGCTAAAAGATGAAAATTTGAGTTTTGTTGTTCATTTCAGACTTGCTTGTGTTTATTGCATTGACAGTTACATATATAGCTTATGGCCTCAAGTGCAAAGATATTTTACAGAAAAGTTAATTGAGAAATTTATTTTAGATGAATCTGCTGAAGTAATATTTTGGACATTTTATTTAGAAGGAGAAATGAATAAATTAATGCTTTTAACTGAATATGTTGGAAATAAAAATGCTTTTGAATATGGACTTCATAAGAGTTGTACTAACAAATGGGCAGTTAAATATTTTGTTGAAAAAATAAATGAAGAAAGAAAGACAAAGATTATTTTTAACTGTGCTAAGCATATAGTTACAAATCACTGGAATCGCAAAACAGATACATTGATTTTATTTCTATCATACATGAATGGAAACCAACAGGAAGAATTTTTTAATCTCTCAGCATATGGTGTTTTAGAATGTTTCTTACTGTGGCCTTGGCAAGAATTTTTCCTGGATATTATCAATACTGTGTGGAATTCATTGTCTGAAATAGAATATTACAATTTACTTGAGAATGTTGCTCATAAAATTTCTGTATTCAATAGAAGTCATATATATATTCAGACTTTTCAAGAGTTATGGAATAATACTGCTCAGAATTATAAAAATTATATTATAACTAAGTGTTATAATGGAACATATCTCAGTCGCCTTTTTATGATAAAAAATACAGATCCTATGATCAAATTAATTTTGTGTGATGCAACACCTGAAGAAAAACATAAAATGATTTTTTATGTTGAAGGCCCTAGTATTTGCTGCTTTTTGTATCGCGAGAAACGATTAGATTCTTTAAAAATGTTGATTAAAGCATGTATTCAATCAGATGACATAATGACCTCTTTCAAAGAAATATATCAAACGCATGCAGAAGTGTGCCCATATCCTACAAGTTCAATAGAATTGAATAATTTCTTCTTGCTGATAGATAGTTTCTTATAACTCTCATTTTAAACATATTTTTCTTTAACCATCAAGTTTAATTCTGTGTTTTCAATGATGAAGCATTTTCTGTATCTCATAAAAGCCTTCTGTTAAAGCAGTTAGTTTTCTTATAGTTTGTACAATTAACTCTCTTCTGTATTAAAATTTTCTTGCATACTTTGAAATGGCTTTGTGAATGAGACTTAATATTACTTCAGTAGATGTAATTTACACATGTTCTTTGGTTCATTTAATGAAGGTTAGCTAGGTGAAAACTGAAATGCTTTCTGGTTATTTTCACCGTACTGAAAAGTTTAAAACTTATTGAGGGGGGGGGGCTAATTTTTCACCAAGTTAACACACAAAAAGCAGTAGCCATTTCCAAAATGGTGGCTCTTAAGAATTCCATACAAGAGCAATGAATTAATAAAATTAAAAAAGGAAAAAACATTACTAATAAAATACTCACCTTTTTGAGAAATCCTTCTTTTCTGCATTGTTCACCCCATAGGCATAGTGATCTGGCTGGTCAAAACAGGCATGTGCTAAGTGCATATGGGTTGTGACACAACTATTTGGATGGCATACTGCTTTGCCATGTGAATACTTTTTCACAACTTTTCAGTAGGTGTGCAGATAATCAAAAAATACCAAAAAGTATTTCATATATATCGATGAGGATTTTAATAAGCTCTCAAGTATATTTTACTATTTACATGTTGATACTTACGTATTGTCCTGTTGAACATGAAAGTTGGCAGAGATCTTTCGAATCATTCCTGTGGAATTCTGAAGGTGATGTTTTTTAAATTAATAAACAATTAGTATTCAACCCACTTTATTTTTTTTTTTTTTTTTTTTTTTTTTTTTGCTTCATAAAGAGGGCTTTCATCGATTTGATCATAAAGAGGGCTATTTTATTAGGTCCTTAGTTTTTCCTAAGGAAAATCATTGTTTAGAAACTATAAGTACAGACTATCTGCAGGTAACTGTTCCAATCTATTACTGTTTTGTCAATGATATTCAGCAGATTATATTATGTCCATTAATACACCCTTTGTTTTGATTATAGAATCCCATTACATCAAATAAAAGATGTTATGAGTGTGTTGTTATTTCATACTTACCTATAATTGGCATTAAATCACATTATTTGGTGACAGTTTCATGGTTGGCAAGATGATACATGAATTTTGAGTTATTTAATCCCCAGGTATGAATAATAACAGGGTTCCTACATTTTTTAAATATATTTTAACCTTGAAGTCATCAAAAATATATTTTTTGTTTCAGAAATTTCTACTTGAGCTAAAGCTGTGGTATTTTTCTGGTTAATACATTCTATCTCAATTATTAGTGTAAGGCATGTTTTAAAAGTAAGAAATTTTTGGCCTTTATCTCATATCTTGGTCTAAGTATTATTCATCACTTAAGTTTGCTTGCTCTGTTTATAGTTTCATCTTTAAAAAGCTACTCATGAAAGCTAGGCCCCGAATATTAGTTATTATTTCAAAATGCAATGTAAAAACAGAACTTATATCCTTCTTACATACATAAAACCAAGGCAAAATTTATGTGATTGTGTTGTGATATCCTGCTTATCCATTTTTTGGTACTCAATCACACTATTTGGCTAACAATGTATATGTGCTAATAATATTGTTGTGTGCGTACGGGTTCGTTATGAAATGAATGCACAAAAATTTATTATTATCACAACAAAAATGCTTAAATTTTCTCAAATTATCATGCAGTATTACAATATCTCACAGTAGTTATCTTTTAACTACTCAAATGTCCAATAGAACTTAATTCAAAACAGCTAAAGAATGCTAATCCGCGAATTCGCTACAATCAACAAAAGCAGTTTTCTAAACAACAACAAACTAAGCAACTCCTACAAACTGAGATGTTTTCCTCCTTTTATAAGATTTTAAAATCACGCGCTAGAATTTTCCAGTACTTTCTCGAAGTCAAAAAGAGATATTTATTTATTTAATGCACGCGCTCTTGTATTTTCAATTTTCCAGCTTAGCTTTCTTTTAATATTCGTCACGCGCTGCACTGCGCGAGAAATAAAAGCATTTAATTTATAATTGAACTAACATTAGCTTTCTAAATACCAAATTCGTAACAATATAACAAGCTCTAGTGTTATAAATCTCTCATTTACTTAAATTAAATGGGATTTTTTTTTTTTTTTGAAATTCTAAAATATGCTAGTTAGTTGGGATTTTACCTTATTACAACATACTTCTGATTATACTGAAGGATAAGATTTCATTGCAAAAATTCAGCGAAATCTGCAAACCTGTCAAAAAATTTTGCCTGTAACTGCCTTTGACTAGACTTTTGCCACTCCTCTCAGTACACACCTAGAAAATCTCTTAAAATTCAAAATTACATATAGAAAAATGAAAGCTTTGTTTATTTTTGAAATAAACCTATTTCAAACATTTTACATGTTTTTCTGTTAGAAAAATTTTTGATGACATCATAGAAGTTTATTTCAATATATCAATTGCTTTTCTGTAAACAGTATATTAAGATTTTGTAAATGCAAGGTATTCATTTTTAGATATCAAGTGTTTCTTAATTTGTATTTAGGAAAGTCTTGTCTGTATTTTAGAATAAGCTACAATAATTCAAAGCGACAGTCCTTGCATGAAGATTGTATTTTAGAATAAATTACAATAATTTAAAGCAACAGTCCTTCCATTTTTCTGTTTTGTCACCCCAAGCAACAATAGAAATAAAATTTGGATCTTTCTCATGAGGAATTCATCCTTTATCATTGTGATCATGATTTATTTAACATTTTCATTACAAAGTTTCAATGGTATAAGGAAGGTATAGTAAGAACATTAAACTGTTGAAATCTTGTGAATTTCTCTGAATAATCTTTTTCAGTGAATAAACCATTCCTTCCCCATTCAGTTTCGCATGACAATTCAGCATCTCGCGATTTTTCACTTCTGCAATGGCAGAGTTTACAAGATGACTGAATATTTGTAGTTCGATCTGGAATCAAATTCAAAAGAATAAGCTTGGCTGCATGAACTTTCCATAGTTTACCCTGTTAAGTATGAATGTGAATACACAGAACTTGTCCAGTGTACAACAAAACATATCTTCTGGATGCAGAAGATGAAACATCATTACAGCGTGGAAAACTGGATTTTACACAATATGTAATCGACTTGAAAGATACAGGAAAGATGCCAGATGTTATAAACAGTAATTTTAGAATTTAGTTAAATAAGATCAGATATATATTTGTCATGATAACATCACATTTCTTATTCAGAAAGAAAGCTTTGTTTAAATTTTTTTTATCGCTTTAGTAGACTTTGACACGAGATCAAATTGAAATGTAAAAAAATATGATAGGGGGCTACTTTTATAAATACCTTTAATGAAATATAATGATGTTTGCCAGAAATATAATGATGTTTTATCATTATATTACTGGCAAAAAGGAATCTTCGTTTAAGGGACACAGAGAAGTTGAGAATTTCATGTAATTAGAACATTTTAGAGCAGTTAGAATTAAATGCTAATATGATGATGAGTTGAACAAGCAGAAAAATCTGAAAGACCCTACAGTCTGTCTATCATAAGAAAAGCTCTCGCCAGTTAGTCTGCAGGTATCTGTTGCCGTAGAAACGAGTCTTGACCCATTTTCTGCTCAGCCAACAGTCACCCAAAACAAAATAACAATAAAGCAACTCTTGGTACGCCCTTATTTGAAATGTACTAGCCCTATTGCTATAGCGACTGCCACCCAAGCTGTTCTTCTCGTAGACAGACAGTAGTTATGCAGCAGTGGCAGTCAGAATTAAACAATTATAATACTTTCTGTGGAACTGCTCTGCTATGAAAATAATATAATTAGAAGCACATGCTAATCAATACTTCTAGTTCGCTGATCTAATCTGATTTTTAAGAATCGCCGATGCATTTTCTAGACCTGTAACCACAGAAGAATACTTTTATGAAATTTGTGATACCACTTATTCAAAATCACTGTTTCATAAAATTTAACAGATCTTGAGATATCTCTTACAGATTGTCGTGTCCATTCTTATAATAAGAGAAAGAAATTCTGAAAGGAAAAAATGGTATTCATCAAGAAACCCACAAAAGCATTACATATTTTATTCTGCTTATAGCATGAATCTCTTGCTAGTCATGCACTAACATCTTCAACAACCGCACAGGATTTCTTTGGGAGGACACAAAGACCTCCCCTTTTTTGTTCTATAAAGCATTGGGTGATTCTTATTAGTTGACATTAAAACTACTATGTGAAATTAGAATACGCAATTAAGACACAATAACACGCCGAATAAATACGAATTCAGAAGTCAAACAACAAAAATCAGAGTTATATTTACAAAATTTTCACAGGACTAGTTTCGATGGTTTTACCGAACCATCATCTTCAGCTGCAAAACCGCAAATGAACAAGATAGGAAATAATGTTTAGATAAGATAAGAAAGCCTGGACAAGAATAAGCAAGTGGCGCCATCTGTTGGCGAAACCAGAACTAAAACATAATTTCCCTAAAAGCCGAAGGCAAATTTGGATTGGAATTAGGATCGTTAACTAGAACAGAAAGATTTTTATGAATGTGAAATGCCTCTAGAAAATCCAGTTCTCCAATGGAAGATGTTTTTTGAATAATTTTGGCAGCAGAAAAATTGAAAGTGTGATTTTCAGACCAACAATGTTGAGCAACAGAAGACTTCTGTGTTTCCTTTTTTCTAACATATGCCTCATGTTCTTTGACGCGAAATTTTAAGGCTCTCTTAGTTTGGCCAATGTAAATTAAACCACACTGGCAAGGAATCCTATAAATACCCCAGGAATTCATATCCGGAATGGGGTCCTTGAGTATAGAAGTTGGAATTTTATTGATGGGAGAGTAAACAACCCGAAAGTTAAATTTCTGAAAAATATGTGCAACTTTATAGCTAATTGATGGAAAGAAGGGAATGACAACAGAATTTTTATAATCTCCTAAAATAAGAGTGTGGCTTTTTAGTGTGTTGGATGAGGAATTTTTAACTGCTTGATTAATAATGTTGGGTGAAAAGCCCCTGTCAATAGCTATTGCTTTTAAATAATTTAGTTCTTCATCAAGGGCTAGTTTGAAGGAGCAAACTTGAAGAGCACGG